GTCTCTTTAAAGTACTAAGAGGTAGACATTAACAGGTGTTAACTAATTGTTTAAAGTAGAACCAACCGATGCTCAAATGTGGGTGTGTCTTAAAGGCGTGATGGCCTTTACATCATCTGAGCCTGAACTGGTCTTTCCAGTCTGATGAGAGTAATTTCTCTACAGCATTCTGACTCTAATAACAGAAGAATGCTTACTGCTAAATAAACGTATACGTTGTAAAGTGCAGTGAGTCAGGCTTCTGCTCACCTTCCACATCTTGGCCCTGTGCTGAGCTGAATGCTCCTGGACCTGGATGATGCCTCGCTCCATCTCCATGTCAGAGCCCGAGTCCAGAGCCTCAGCTAGATCCTGGTCCCTGGAGACCGGGAAGGACCAGCACACAGTTATAAATGTTCATAAAAACTAAAGATAACATTTCTTATGGGTGACGTGTATTAATAGTTCTCACAAGGTTGTAAAGTCATTGCGGAACACGATGCTTCACTGTGATAACTTATCTGTAGTCGTGTCTATTTATACTGTGAACTAGGGCCGTCCTCAACCAAAGAAAGTCTCAGTTAACTCAGCGATTAATTGATTTAAATCAACAGATCTGTAAAACTCAGTTCCTTCACAAATAATGAACACAAACACTTTAAATTGTGTGTTTACCAGAGATGTGTTCACTCATTCAGCATGAAATAATGACAATCGATTAAAGACATCTCAGTCGATCGAGACCAAAACAATCGATTAGTCCACTAATTATCTATTATGTTTTAGATTGTCATTTGCTGCTTGAATTTTGTGTTTGTCTCTACATAAATATGAATAAAGACATTTCCAGCCCAAATATATATTCATACAAATGCACTAGAAACCAGGTAATTAAGTGTTCGAGGCTACGCTTGGGTTTCAGGTTAAACGGAAGCAGAACTCCACATAACACCGGCTATCTAGCTAGGCACTGTTAGCTTACTGGCTAACAAGCTTCAGTTATAAAACGAGTCAATGTGAGGAAATAAAGTAATGTAAATATAAATTACATTGATTGACGGGTCTTAGTTAAAAACACATTTGTGTCTACTACTGACTGACCGACTGAGCTGCTGATTTATCTGAACCAACTTGGCTAATTAACGTTAGCCGGCTAGCTGTAACGTTAACGGACTCCAGGCTAGTTTCAGGTTAGCATCCAGGCTAGTTTCGGGTTCGCATCCAGCGCTAGCAGACTCGTGGTTACTTTCTGTACATCGCGTACAGTCGGCTGAAGTCGACGCAATTGTTTGACAAACGTATTAAATAATGTTAAGTGTGATGACAACAAACATTGACTGACCAGCTGCCATGAAGCGCTTCCTCCGCGGCATCCGCCATTGTTGTGTTGACGGAGACACGTCAAGTGCCGTCAACACGGCCGAGGTGTCGCATAACGCTGTCATCGATGAGCAGCTTTGTGTCGTCGGAAAGATGTCAACACTTTAAGAATTATCTATAATTATTATAATAATAAATATCATTTGTGTTGTTAATATATTAGTATTTTATTATAATGAAAATAATTATGATCTATAATTATTATAACAATATTTTTTTCTGTTAATATTATTGTATTATAATGAAAATAATTATCAAAGTATGAGGAAAATAAAGTGTTTTTTGAACATACTAGAAACCCAAAAATCCTGAAAATTAGCATACGTCTCCTTTAAGTGTAGATTGCTGCTGCTTAGTATTTTATTATAATAAATAATTATGAGAAGTGTTTTTGAACGTTACAGCACGTAAACATGTTCTAGTAGAACCCCCAAACATACAAATGTGAACCTGAAAATCAGCATACGTCTCCTTTAAGTGTCTGAAATACTAACAAGCTCAAAATATGAAGCAGATAAAGTTTCAAAGTATGAAAGTGTAACAAAGGCAGCTGAGAATAAACAAGCAAAGTGGAAATGCATTCCAGGAATTATAACTTTATTAGAGATTCTCTCACTTTGATCACGATAAAGATCATTTGATGAAGAACGTCAGCTTCATTTCTATCAACAGACAATATTTTGTGATTATCTGCTGACTATCACATCAGTCTCTCCCAGGTTGATTCAGTGTTTTGCTGAGTTGCCACACATTCAGTAAAATGTAGCCGTAACTGATGCTAAATGAATGAATGTCAAAGATTAGTATTTTCTAAAAGTTAAACGTTGAGCAGTGGTGGCTGATTTAACGTCACATGTATAAAGTAGTGATGCTACTTGAGAACCAGTTCTTACTCTTCACTCTCAGAAGCTCGTACGACGTTAGAAACAATACGGCTCGTTATACCGGAACACAAATCTGAGGACAGAAAAATAAAACCAGCCTCTTGCTCTGTCAAACGATGTAATGCAGCATGAAAAATAAACATCTTACAAGAAAATAAATCATGTTTATGAATTAAGAGCGAGCTACGAAAATCAACTGAATATCTAATCTTCTGACATATGAGGCAATTCAAAAATAACATTTTCAACAAAAACTAAAGACATTAAAGTTTTCTTTCTAATCAAAAGTGTGTTTTCCCCCAAAAGTCTCATCGTTGGGCTTTTCCTAGTGTTCAAGACAGCACGAGCATTGCATTTACATTTATTCATAAAGTGAACATGCTGCACAAAGTATATAAAAAGAAAAACAATCCCAGATTAGAAAAACTAAACTAACTCTCTGAAGCCCCGTGTCCGTGGGATCAATTCCAGCATTACAAACACAGACATTAACACATTTGACTTTACTTTTAATCTTGCATTCAGAACTGATAGTGTACGTTACACATGATAGGAGCCGGAAAAAAACACTTTAGATCAGCATAAATTAAGTGAAGAGTCCATCAGAACCATGTGAAGCTCTCACAGTGTCCTTCTGCAGATGTAAAAGTGTCACAGAAGCCTTTTAAAGTCAGTTATTGGTTCAACAAACTGCACACGTTTCAGTTCACTTACATGGTTATGAATTCAGAAGCAATACATGGACTTTCATGTATGCGTTTCTCTGGAGATGACTCTTTATTGTGAGCAGTAAAAAGGTTTGAAGACAAACCAGAGGTCTGGATCACCGCCTCGGCTCCACTGTGAATAGAAATCCTTCTTTCCACGACAACAAACCCTGTTAATGTGATGTAAACACGTTATTTATTTATTTATTTATATATATATATATATATATATATATATA